AGCATGCGGTCGTGTGGCATCAAGACCAGTTGATACTGTCTTCCTCCATCTGTTTTGTATTTGTACAAATACTTCGTCATATAGTTCAGTTGTTGTAAACAGTGTTGCAACTGTCAGCCACCAAGATTTCCAATGAGAGGAAGAGCTCCGAAAACTTGACTGTTTCTTCTGTAGAGGATACCTGGCAGTAGAGGAAGGAAACACGAATGAACTGGAACAAATGGGAAGTCTCAAATGTTCACGTGACTCCCTGTTCTTGCTGAGCTAAAGGATCTGAGAGCTCTAGAGGACAGGCCTCACTTGGGAAGAGGAGCGTGGGCAAGAACAGAGTGTACACATCCTGAGGGTGCTCGTGACTTGGAGCTTTTTGAGACAGTGACAGTTGAAGGTGAAATTGTGAAGAAATCCAGCGATTTTAGGACAAGATAGGGAATGCAGGCTCCAGCAGCTCCTGGATGGAGAAGCGAGGAATCTGGGCATGGACTCTGTGGAGAAGCTAGCATGGGGTGGGAGTGGGGGGTGGGGCGGTGTATAAAGCTGTGCACATCCTTCTGAGTAGAGCACAGATTCTACTGTCAGATTGAATGTCTCTAAGACATGCAGGTGCTTCACCAACTAACAGTATGGGATGTGTGTTGAGGTGCAGAGGTGATTCATACCCAGGAAAAGTCTAATGTAATGCCCATGTGCAGAAAAAATATGTAAGTATAATATTGTCTTAAAAGGTGAGGGTGACCTAAACACAAAGAAAAACTCCTGTTGAGAAAAGTGAGAGAAAGGGTCTGAAATGCTGAGAATTTTGTAGAACCTTTGCTGAAAGGGTAGAAAAAGTCTGTCACTTATTTCTAGGCACCTGGCATCCCGGGTTTCTCCCCACTTTGGTAACAGTATCAATTTCAAGTTATTAAAAGCATTTGTTCTCTGACAGTCACTGGTGTTGAGAGTGCCTTGACAGTGAAAGGGAAGAACCCTGAGAACCATTGTTCTGGCCATGGACAACATTGGGTCTGTTTTCTTTATCGAAGGATCTTGTAACTTGAATGTGAAATGGCCCCCATAGGCTCATGTTTTTGGACACTTGGTCATAAGCTTCTGATGCTGTTTTGGAGCATTATGGAACCTTTTGGTTGTGGATCCTTGCACAAGAAGAAGTGGGCCACTAGGGAAAGGTCTTGTGGTTTTATAGCCTGGCTATACTTCCTGTCTACATTGTTTCCTGAGTGCAGGTACAATCTGACCAACTGGCTCAAATTACTGCCTCATGCCTTCCCACCCATATGGACTGTATCCCTCTTAAACCATATGTCAGGTATGTAGTCACAACAATGGGAAAAATTAACAGTACATCTGTGTCAAGGAGTGTGCCTATTTCTGTGATAAACCTGACCTTGTGGTTCTTAGGCCTTTTGAACAGATTAGTGTGGGGAGTGTGGAAGAATTTGAGACTTTATGCCAGCCACTTTAGAATGCTATAAGCAGAGCTCAGCAGGTCGTTCTGGTGGTGGGTTAGAAGCCCAGGATGCTAAGAGAAAACTATACACGGGCCAGGCTCGTGAGGTTTCAGAGAAGAATAGGGACTCTGTCCAGAAGTGACCTAGAAATCATGTTATAATCAAGCAAAAACCTCTGGCTACATTCTGCCAAGGTCCTGACTTCAAATGCAAATGGACTAGTTCCTTCTCAGAGGAAATGTCAAGTGTTCAAGCGTTCAGGTTGTATAATGATTATTGCTGATTCTTATGCAGGTCTATGGTGAAATCAAAAAGTGGATCAGGAATTTTTGAAAAATATGCAGTTTGACTAGAACTGGGCGTGAATGAGTTTAAAGTTATGGACAAGGTGGATTTGAGAGCATCTGTAATTGTTACAAGTTAGCACCATTAAAGAGAAACCATTTGATAACAAGGGCTGGTGCTTGGAAGGCAAGACCCCACTCATAGAATAGTTATTTGGGCCTTTTTTGGGAAACCCAGTGGCCTCAAAAGGTCAGAAAGCTTAGAACTCTGATGGTATTTGGTCTGAGCTTTCTCTAGTAGGGCAAAACTAGATTCCTAAGATCTTTTTATAATGCTGTAGCAAAAAGGTAGAGGCTGTGCCTGAATCCTTGAGGAAGGTGTCACTAAAATTCCTCTGGGAGGTGTAAACAACATCCTCCTTGGTCCCTACGACGAACTGGGGAAACAAACTACAGTCTGGGAAACCAGTGAGTTTATTGGGCTTCCTTACAGAGCAGTGGGTGAGGTTTACCTACAGGAATATGGGTGCTCGCCTCCTAAGGCTGCACTGGAAAGTCTTCATGCAAATATGGATGGTGACTTCCACATAGCGCCACAAAGTGGCAAGAGAGAGAGCCTCCCCTGGACTTCCTCAGACTCACTCATGTTATCCCAGTGGGCATCCAGAAGAAGGAAGAAAAAGGAGGAAAGGAAAAGTGTGTGGGGACAAGTGAATGCCAGTATGTGAGAGAAGTCTGGGCTGTGGTAGTGCTTAGAGGACCCTGTGGCACTGAGGACCCCAAGCATCCATATGGCTGTCATGGTTTTTATTAGCCCCATCACGGCTGTACCCATATAGGTGTTGCCATCATGGCTGGGCATGTGACTGTCACTGGCTGTGACCATGTGACCAGATGCCTGTGGTTAACCAGCAACTCCATGTGTGTATGAGCTCAGGTATCCTGAGATTTTGACTCTGCATGTCTTTTAGGCTGGCTGAGGTAGCTGTAGATCCTTGTGAACTTCCCAGTTTAAAGGTGAACCCTCCCAGACAGCTGCTTAACCAGTTTAATGTGCAGTCCCTCCCAGGTAGCTGTCTCCAAGTTTAAAGTAGAGGTCCCCCTGGGCAGCTTTTGGCCAATGTATGTGCTCCTTTACCTAAGTGTAAGTTTGGGTAATGTCCCATAGAGCAGGAGTTACCTTGTTAAGGAAGAGAGATATTTGGAAACCTTTCCTGCTTACCTTACCTCCTGGCGGGCAGCTCTGCAGCTGATATAGGCACAGATCTGTCTTTAGAGGACACCTGCTAAAATTTCCAAGTTCTTATGTCTCCAGATAATAATTTGAACAAAGACATATGGCTAGTAATTGTAAAGGAGATAGTTCATTAAAAGAGAGAAACAAACAAACTTGGAAATGAGCCAGAACTGGACCCAAGTCTGCATTCCAAAAGAGATCAAGGAAAGGTCCCTGATGCCTTTTATGGATCATTTACATTTTCTGCACAAACTGTTTCATTACATGTGCAGTCTGTGTTCAGGAAAGTTTCCAGTCTTCCCTTGCCATTGGCTTCTTTAACATGTTAATCCTGGAGCCTATAGACTCTAGCCCTCTGACCTCAATCATAGCATCTTGTGAAGTCACACAGGTCACTGCTCTGGGCAACACCTGGGTGACCCCTTTGTATTAGTTACTTTGCTCATTGTTTTGACCAAATTCCTTACATGAAGCAACTTAATGGAGGAAGGGTTTATTTCATGAGCTTTCCAGTTTAAGAAGAGACATAATCCATTATGTCACAGAGGACATGGTAGCAGGTGCATGAGGCAGCTGATCACATTGTGTCTGTAGTCAGGAAGCAGAGACTCCATAGAAAGAGACCAGGCTATAAAACTTCAAGACCTTCCCTTAGTGACATACTTCCTCCAGCAAGGCTCCATCTTAACAGGCTTCTAAAACAGCACCAGAGGCTGTTGAGCAGGTGTTTAAACATGTGGCCTTATTGGGAACATTTCATATTGAAACCATAGTATTCCATCATCATACTAATGCAAAACACACTCACTCCATCGTCAGAAGCCCCCATGAAGGCTAGCAAGATGGCTCATTGGGTATGAGCTCATGCAGCACAGCCTGAAGACCTGAGTTTGATCAGTGGAACCTATAATGAAAGAAGACAACTGATTCCTGAAGGTGTCCACTGACCTCTACATACAAGCCGTGGCACATGCACACCTGTTTGTGCTCTCTCTCTCTCTCTCTTTCTCTCACCCTCTCTCACCATTCACCCCTTACCTGCATCCCTGTAGAGTCCCAACACCTACCTGTTTCACATGCTACCCCATCTGGTGACTCCTGTTGCTCCCTGCCTTCCCACCGTTATGTTTTATTTACTTCTGCTTTGCCATACCCTAACTGTTCTCAGATTTCCCCTGTCCATTTACTAGACAACACTAACCTTAAAGGTATGGAGATAATTTCTCAGGCAATAAGACATTTCCTTGAGGGTCAGATCCAGGGGCGGGACCCTACATAAACACAGTAACAATAAATAGTTTAAACATTTAAAAGTCAGATTCTCCATGAGGCAGGAGAATGAGGTGAAAAGACCCAAGAATATTTGTGTCTCAGTTATGACTTACTGAGCCAAAGAAAACCAGTTTACAATGATGCTGTTTGTCTTTTCAGTTAGCCTGTGTTGATTGCCAAAAAAAAAAATCTGGCCTACTTTTGGTGGTTTCTCATCCATCATAAACTAAATATTACACACGGGGCGAATAAACAATATGACGCTCAGTCTTTTCTATTTTAGTTTTCATGTGAAGGTCTCTCTCTTAAGTGTTACTGTACACGTCACATTTACTGACATATGTAGCTTATAAACTTGCTTTCTGGGGCTGAGGAGATGGCTCAGTAGGTAAGAGTGCTTGTTGTGCAAGCATGAAGCCCTGAGTTCAGATCTTAGCATCCATGTGAAAATATGGGCACGGTTACATGAGTGCCTGTAATCCCAGTCCTGTGAGGGACAGAAACAGGAGAATTGCTAGAAATTACTGGTCACCAGATTAGCCAAAAAACTTGAGCTCCAGGTTTGGGGAGAGACTGTGTCTCAAGGGAATAAGGCAGAGCGCAATAGGGCAGGACACTTAATGCCCCCCTCTAGCCTCTGCACATACATACAGGTGCATGCACCTACACATACATAGGTGTATATACCACAGACATGTATCATCCCACCCCATAAATAAACCTGCTTTCCTGACAGTCTTCTCATTCTTTTTTTAGGTACTTCCTACTTAACAGACATTGTGTGGTGGGCTGGCACAATTGCAAGTAAGTGGCTCATGTGGTAAAGATTCAAGTCTTTTTAGTTATCTCTAAGGTCTGTCACTTACCTGGGCAGGGATAAGGGGTGTGACTTTGTGTTTTCGAGTAGAGTATTAGTATTCACCTTCCCAGGAGGAATACTTTGAAGGGCCATCCTGTACTACCCACTATCTGCTCCTGAGATACACTCTCTTTCCTTCTCATCCTCCCTTTTGTTGAAAGGGAGTAGATGAGAGTGTGGAGTGTTGACCTGGGAGAAGGAGGCAGAGGCTCTGGCTGTCTGTAGCTAACCCTGGTTAATCCAGGTCAACCTACGGGTCTGGAGAAATTAAAACAGCTCCTTAAAATTAAAAAAAAATTATTTGTATTTTATGTGTATGAGTGTTATACCTGTTTGTATGTTGTATGTAAGTCACCAGTGTCATGCAGTACCTGCAGAGGACAGAAGAGAGTGTTGGATTCCCCTGGAATTGTTTGCTAGCTGCCATGTGGGTGTTGGGATTAGAACCTGGGTCTTCTGCAAGAACAACCAGCATTCTTAACTTCTAAGCCATCTCTCCAGTCCCATAATCTGGATTTAATTTTTATCTTTTGTGATAACTGCACAATTGCCTTTCAAAGTCCCAAACCCCCAAATAATATACATATATTATTATTTTATATACATATGTATTGACAAAACTGTCATAATTCATTGTTTGTGGTCAACACATTTTAATGCAAACTTTTAGAGAGACTATAGACAGATACATCATGAAAATTCTCTAAGTATAGTCACTGAGTCACTTCTCCTGGCTACAAATTCCACCATCAAATCACTAGATTTTACTCTGGCCGTTTCAGGACACTCTGCCATCTCTCCAGCACCAAAACAGCTCTTCCTTAACTCCTCTCTAGCTGAGCTGAAATCCCATGTTAGACTGTCTTGCTTTGCTTAGCACAACCGGTCCAACAAAGAAGTTTAACACATCAAAGATCAGTGCTGTAATTTGTAATAAACTATAAATTTAAAAATTATCATATGGCTTATCACATGCTGGTTTTTTTGCAAAATATTCCCTAGGTAAGGCTGTTTTTGTTTATTGAGGGACTCCCCATAAAAGCTATTTGAGTGAATCCCTGGGAGTCCTGTTAGCCTAGCACTATGGCCATTTTCTTACACTGGAGCAGGGCCTAGGCCACTGGAAGGCAGTTGGGAAGCCCTGCTCCACTTGCTGGGGAGAGAGTGATCACTGGGTGTTATGTTGTTGTTAAATAGCAGTACTATGCTTTGGTGTACTGTTGCACAGTAAGGTGACTCCAGATGACTGTAACAATACTGCATGTATCAGAAAGCTAGAACAAAAGATTTTGAGTGTTGGCATCAGAAAGCGATGAAACATGTTTGAGTGGGTAGGTATATTTAAACTATTCAACATATACATGTGCCCAACATTATATGCTGCCCCATATACAATTGTTATGTTACATTTTGGCTAAAAAATTAATTTAAAAGAGAAAAAAATAAAAATAGCATTTTAACCAAGGATATATTAAGAGAGTGGAAACATTCAGTGTTGTACTTAGTTACTTCCTGTAACACTGGGCATTTCTGTAGAGCTAAAACTGCTGCCCAGACCAGTAGCAGGGTCCTGGAATATGCAGATTTGCTTCCTCAAAATCAGTGGAAAAGTACCCCTTTCAGAACAGAACCTTGCAAAACTCAACTCTCATCAGTGATACAAGGGAGCATGGTAAATGCAGGTGTGCCCTTGTGATTCTCTCCACAGTGGCTGTTGGCCAGATTGGAAATTTCCTGGCTTATACCGCGGTCCCTACGGTCCTGGTGACTCCTCTGGGTGCGCTTGGAGTGCCATTTGGGTGAGAGCTGAGATTCTGTGTTTTGATATTTAATGTTCAGTTTAGATAGAAAAATCTTTTCATGTTAAATGGTTCTGTTAAAAAAATAAAATTGTAAGTGAAGATAGGTCTTCTGTATTTCATTTTATGTCATTTCATTTTTCTCCTTTAAATGTTTTTCTGTGTGTTACCAACCCGTCTCTTAGAATTTACTTTAGTGTATTTTGAGTTCTAGTTTGTGACTAACAATGACTCTGATGCTATTCACTCACTTGGTCTTTGTTCTGGAAAATGTCTTAGAACTTAGAGTCTTCCTGACACCGTGGCACATTGTTCTGAGAACTCACGAAGTAAACTGAGTCAGTTTGTGTTTTATGTGGGTGTTTAGCATCCCTTACTGGGCAGGCATTCTCCCATCTCATCCCAGTAAGTTACAGAAGTTGGGATGAATGATGCATGGGCATCAGTGCTTGTGGAACAGGGTATGTTACTCACATAGTGCAACAAATGGACACTAAAGAATGATGAGTGAGGGCTGTTTTTACTGTAGTTAGGGTGATTCCGATGGGGCTTGCACACTTAAGTTAGAGTTTCATGGTTTGAAATATCTGTCTGTGCCAAGGAACCGGGGATCCTGGGACTGTGCATATGAACAGGCTTGCTATCAGGTTACCCAGATAAAAATCACAGTGGCGCCCCTCTTTATTAACTTGGTGACCTAGGCCATTTTCTGTTACAACAAAATGGCTGAGAATGGATAATTTTTAATAGAGGTTTAAATTTTGGCTCTTAGTTCTAGAGACTACAAAGTCCAATATTGGGCAAATCTTCCCCCCTTTCTTGAGACATGGTCTCACCATGTAGCTGTGGCTAGCCTGGAACTTGCTATGTAGCTCAGACTGGCCTCAAACTTAAGGAATTCTGCTTATCTGTCTCCCAAGTGCTAGGATTAAAGGTGTGTGGCACCACACCTGGCTAAAGATTTATTTTTAATTTTTGATTATGTGAATGTGTGTCCATGTGTAGTTATGTGCATGTGTGAGGGGATCCCCTAGAGCTAGAGTTACAGGTGGTTGTAAGCTGCTCAGTCCCAAGCAGCCCTGTTTTATGAGGACCAGAAACTGCTTCATTTCTTGCCAGAAAGTTAAGGGGGGAAACCTAAGGAGCAGTAGCACATTATGACAGCTCACTCTGTGGTAACTAATCCAGTCCTATAAGTGATGCATTAATCTCTCTTAATGACCTAATCACCTTCTAAAAACTCCACTACCTTTTAAAATTGCAAATCAAGGACTGGAGGGATAGTGCAGCCATTAAAGGCTAATGCTAACAACCAAATGTTAAAATTGCAAATCAAATTTCAACGTATTTGTGGGGACAAACCATACCCAAACACTTGGCTTACTAGAAAAATTTTCTTATGGGACATTTATTGACTGTATCAGTATAGCCCATTATGAGTATATTTATGTTTTGTTTTACCTTTGAAGAAGTCATTAATAAATTTGGATAGAAGAAATATAAGATCCAAGTTTCTAAGTCATGGGTGTATTGATTTTCAGCTATAGTCCAGGCAGACCCCAAATCCTTATGAAAAGTGTCTATCATGAATGTATTTGTTGCCTGTAAACCCACTTAATCTTTAAGATTGTGTGTTCTAAAATCCTCAACTATTTTTTTTACATATGAAACTTTGAAAATATGTTTTTACTACATTGTTATCCAGACATATGCTTGATAATTTATGTAGCTTGATGTTATTTTGTATTTTGGATGACCCAGAAAATTTGGGAAGGCACGAGTGCTGCTTCGGTCTGGAATCATTCCTGTGACTTCCTTAGTTCACGTTCCTGGACTATGAGCTGATCCCATCATCTTTGTTCCTGGCACATTTAATGTGTACATATTAAAATGCCATGTATAGATAATTTCCTAAGAACAATCTTCATGCAGTTTTATAGTTTTAAGTGACTCACTGCCCCAATTCTGCAAGAGATGTTATCTACCCAAAGAATCATAGGCTTGGTATTTTGAATAAAGAGCTTGCCTTTAACTTAGGATCTCATTTCCATTTTTCTTTTTTCTTTTTTTCCTGTGGTTTTGGGACTCAAACTTAGGACTATGTGCATGCTATAATCACTGCACCACTGAGCTTTTTTAAAGTATATAACTTAAGTTAAATTGGAAGAAAGCAAAGATAGCAAATTAATGTGTTCTACTTTGCTTTCTGCTTCTGTAATAAAACACTGACCAAAACCAACTCAAGGAGAAAAGAGTTTATTTTAACTTACAGATTATACTCCATCATGAGGGAAGCCAAGGCAAGAACTAGATCTAGGAACCTGGAAGCAGGAACTGAAGCAGAGAACATGGAGGAATGCTGCTTACTGGCTTGCTTCCCCTGGCTTGCTCAGCTACCTTTCTTATACAGCCCAGGCCCACCTGCCTAGGGATGACACTGTCCACAGGGGGCTGGGCCCTCCCAAATCTAACAATTAAGAAAATGCCTCACAGACATAGCAACAGGCCAGAACGATGGAACTAATTCCTCAATTGAGTTTCTCCCTTCCCAGGTGACTCTAGTTTATGCCAAATTGATAAAAACTAACCAGCACAATATGTATGTGTATTTTTTAAGTTCTCTTGATAATGGAGGAATTGCTGGATTTACATAGAACAGAAAGAATATGGCACTGGAAAGAAAATCAGTCTTTATTAATAAACAGAATCGAGAGTTCCCATTTTTTCTCTAAAATAGTTTAATGTCTGATACAGAAATCATCACAATAAGAAATTTAAAAAAAACTTATTTTGGCCGAGTGTGGTGGTACGTATCTCTAATCCTATACTCAGGAGGCAGAGACAGAGGCAAGGACAGGGGCAGGGGCAGAGGCAGATGGATCTTTGTGAGTTCAAGGTCAGTTCGGTCTGCATGGAGAGTTCCAGACCAACTGGGATCACACATGAGACCCTATCTCAAAAGCAGAACAAAACAACAAAAAGACCATTGGAAATGATTTCCAAGTTACATAAAGGTACAGGATTAATAATCACCTTAATGCCATGGACACTCACACCTCTTGTTGGCATTTTAACTTACTGTCTATCCTTTACTTCTTTAATCAGGGTTTCTTAACCATGACAGTGTTAATGTTTGAAGCCAGATGTTTCTTTGTTGTGTGGGGGCAGGGGGGTACTGTCCTGTATTTTGTAGGGTGTTTAGCAGCATATCTGGCCTCCCTCTACCACATGCCATTAATATCTAGCTCCTCTCCAAAGTATCTCCAGAAATAAACAATGAATACATTTCCATTGTGCTATATGGATGCAATGTTTAGGTTCAATAATATAAATAGGTTGATATAAAAGTGACATAGGGATTGGTGAGATGGCTCAGCATGTAAAGGTGCTTGTCGCCAAGCCTGACCTGAGTTTGATCCCCAAACCCATATGGATACATGCACCTCCCGCAACCCTAATAAATGTTAAAAAAATTTTAAAAAGAACATGGTGCATTATCTAAACAGCAGCCATAAGAATGTTGGAGAGGCTATCAGACAAAGCAGACTGAAAAACAAAAAAATGTTACTGAAGAAGGACATTTAGAATAACAAAATGGCCAATCCATCTGGAAGATACAGACATCATAAACAAATGTAAACACCTAAAACAACTTCAAAACACATATAGCCAAACTTAAAAGAATAAAAGAAAATAATAGAGACTTTAGTACCCCCACCTTCATCAGTAGATAGAAAAACTAGGTAAAAGATCAACAGGAATTAGTGTATTTGAATGAAACCAAGTAAACAGGCATATGTAAACTATTTCACTCAGCAGCAGCTGAGTGCACATCCTTCCCCGGTTCATTCCCCAGGCAAGACCATGGACTAGGCTGTTTTAAAAAAGCAATAAATTTGAAAGGAAGAAAACCATACCAGATAACTTTCTCTGACCACAAAGAAATAAAACTAGAAAACAAAATCAGCGAAATTTTTGAAATGCACAAATAATATGAAAATTATTCATTAATAGTTGACCAGTGGGTCAAAGAAGAAATCATCAGGGAAATAATAAACACATAATTAAAATATTTTGAACAAAATTACTTACACAATTCTAGAAAATTAAGAACACCATCCTAGAACTCATAAGACTAAGCTAAAGCAGTGAGCCCAGGGGAAATTAATATCTATAAATATGCTTATGTTTTTAAAAAACAAATTATCTAGCCAGCAACCTACACTTTCATTCTGAGGCACCAGCAAAAGAGGGAAAACTAAAGAGGCAGAAGATTAGAGTTACAAATGAAAAAAAGAATAGAAAAACAATGGAAAAATCATTATAACCAAACATTTGTCCTTTGCAAAGATCAACAAAGTTGATAAACCAATAGCTGGATTCATAAAGCAAACAAATCAAAGAAAGATTTCCTATGGGTGTTTGATTCCTCCAAAACACATGTTAATTCTTTTTTTTAACTTTTAAAAAATTTTTATTATTTTTATTTTATGTGTATGAGTGTATTGCCTGCATGTAGGTAAATGCACCCATGTTGTACAATGCCCACGGAGGTCAGAAGAGGCTGTTGGATCCCCTGGGATGAGTTATGGACAGTTGTTAGCTGCTATGTAGGTGCTGGAATTCGAACCCAGGTCTTCTGCAAGAACAACCAGTGTTCTTAACCACTGAGCAATCTCTCCAGCCCCCACACGTTCATTCTTAATCTCCTATGACAGTAACAGAGATTGTGAAAGTGATAATAGTGCATTATATACATGTATGAAATGTTTAAAGGAAACCTATTACTTTGTACAGTTAATATATGCTAAATATAGATAAATAGACAAATTAAAATATTGGCAGTTTTTCTTTAAAAAACTTTAATTTCAAATTCATAAATTGGTAATATTTGGAAGTTGAATCTTGGGGAGATAATTAGGTTTAGATAAGGTCAGAAGGGTGGGATTCCCATGACTGTATTGGTAGCTTTATAAGTAGAGGAAAGGACCTGAGATACC